GCGTCCAATATTTTTAGACATTTACGGCGGAGCCTCGAGAAACTTTATAGCGCGAATTGCGAGAACCTGTTTGGCAAAAGGTTTCGCGAAAAAGTCAGTACGGCTCTGCGACACCCAGAAATGTCACGTCGCATCGCGGCGTCACTCGCCGTGTCCGTCTCTCGTTCATTGTGCTAACAACACAATCAAAATAGCATTACGCAGGGCCGCGCCGAGGTGTTCCGTTGTCGCGAGCAGAATGACAATTCCACTGGCTACGCACCCTCAGAAAGGATTTCTGTTACCGAGACAAAAAATATTCTTGACGCATTTATATTTTTCACAACCTCATTTACTATAAAAATAAGACAATATCGAAATAAAATCAACAATTCTTATTCTTCTCTATCGAAGTAAAAAAGATTTATTTACTATATTGAGACAAGAGTAACTCATATAAATGTAAGTTTAGGTTCTTTCTTAGAATTCTTAGAATTCTTAGAATAAATTCTTAGAATAAATTTTCCCTCCGTCTTACAACGCACGAAGTTGGCACCACGATATTCGACAAAAGACACATGCTATCATTTTATTCTAGATTTTAGAATTTTTCATTTAAGATTAAAATATTCCTTTCTCTATAATAAATATGATTGGCGCTATATCGATCCTATTTTATGATACATTCAAGTGTAATAGCACATTGAAGTGCATGGGATCCGGAAATTTTTTCTGTGCGTGCGAGTTGTCCCAACATTTATAACGCAAATTTTTCGGGCGACGATCCGTCATTCAAATTAAAATCATGAATGTCAATATCGTCGATCTGGTAAAGCGGGGAAATTAAGGGTCCTGTTCTGTAAACATTTACGATATCATTACGTGCTTTGAGCAGCGTTTCTGTAGTATATTATGTCTGCGTAAAGCACGTAATGATGTCGTTAACGTTTACAGACTAGGCCTCCAACGCATTAAAAGAGAGTTAATTACCAATACCAATCTTCCTTTACAATAATGACATGACACAATTACATCATCGTAAAGTTTGTGACATTTTTAAATCTAATTTAGACTTGCAGGACAGATGTAATATTTTATATCTCTATTATTCTGCGATTTTTAATGTAATGCGAGCCTATTATTTTATTTTATTGCTAAATATTGGTAGCCACCGCAAGTACGGTTTTAGAATAAATACCTTAAAATATGCGTTTGCACCGAAAAGGACTGAACTTGCTTCGCAACGTCGCTAAAAAGTATGAGAAGTAGCGCGGTATGTATGTGTGCGAAGAATCTCTAATACTTTCCCATTTTATATGGAAAGGGGGAAGGAGAAAAAAAATAAAGCCGTATCCCGTCTCAGGCTTTCGCGGAGACGATTTGCTCCGAGGCTACGTATAATTTTACGCTGCCTCTCGATTAAGCGCGGATGGATCAACGTACGCGCTTGATACTTCCGCACGCATACTTGAATCCGTCCGTTCCCAACGTCGATGCACGCTGAAAACGAGTGCGGCGCGCAACAGCAGCCGGTACGTTTCGACGCGGATCGTCTTCCTGCTAGGTGAAATCGTTTGATTGCCGTCTTCCGCATTGGCACGCAATGTATGGTACTTTTATATGGAAAACCGCTCGCTGTTAACCCTTTGAAGCATACATTTTTCTATTGAACCATTTTTCGTGAAACTTTGTATACACGGGTTTTTGGGGTCGCTATTACGAATTCGTTATCAGATTTTCATAATTCAAAATGGCAGATTTAAGGTGGCGGAATTCAAAACTTAAAAGAATAATTTTTTCGCAATAAATTTAGAATGAAATGTTTAGACACTTACACCCTCTCACGGCTCCTAGTCCTTTATTCCTTCAAATTTGTGTTTATCACATTTGAGCTATGCGAATTTTATTAATTTGTTAACAGAATAAAATCTTTCAACTGTAATTCAACTATGCCAAGAAATATTATTAGGATCCATGGAATCTATATTCCAGTTGAAAATTCTTATAGAATATAAAAATAGCGCAAAATTTTACCGATTTCAGATTTTATTTATACAGTGTTATTTTTCAATTGTACACCTGATACCGAGTCTTGAATGAAAACGTCGAATTCGTAATCAGCGACCTAAAAAGTCCCTAAGTACCGTAATCAAATGAAAATGCTGAAAAAACTTGAAAGCTTAAAAACTTCACGTACTTTGCATACGCCACATTCGGCCATTTGGCATTTTGAAAATCTGACATCAGATTCGTAAAGAGCAACCTCGAAAACCCTTTTGTACAAAGTTTTCAAGAAATACTCTTAAAAAACTTGGTTAATAATGCATTTTTCTCCAAAAATTGTGCTGTTTTTTTTCATATTTCTTTTATTATAAAACTTTTACAATAAATACTAAAGACTACTCAACTTTTTTAAGCTATTTTATTACTAAGATACCGAAAAAATGCAAAAAAACCTGACCTAAATGCGTTAACTAGAAATTAAATGGCCAAAATGTAAAGAAGTTGAGGTGGTAACGTGAGTTACCACCACGCTTCAAAGGGTTAAAACCGCACTGAAACAAACGTCTTACGTTTCCCCGCAATGCGCGTTTATTTCGGTGATATTAGCTTTGTTTTCTGTTCCTGCACTGGCGAACTAGTGCAGCAAGCTAGAATGAGAAAAAATATACTTGTCTTACTCTAATTTATTGCACTAGTTCACCAGTGTAGCAACAGGAAATAACCTTATGATATACGCGATTTCTCGCGTTTTCCACTCATTAATCTCTCCTCGAAATTTGCCAACTAATACACAATGTTTCAACGTTTCGATTCACCTCTTTCGCAAGGTCGTATCTCGATTTTACGCAATTTCCAGTTGTTCTATTTAAACACTCATTCTGCTCCTAAATGAGCATTTAAGCAGAAAAAGCGAAAATTGCGTAAAACCGAGATACGACCTTGCGAGAGAGATGAATCGATTTATCGAACTTGTTTACCGAATTAATCGAACGTACGGATAAATTATCTCGAGCGGTTTGGCGAGAATAAACGAGACGCGCGTCGTTTACTGGACACGCGCGTGCAGCCTCGCATTGTGTCGCCGTCGTGTCACACAACTCTCGCGACGCGGGACGTTTGAGCGTCGTCTTTTCAGATTACACGCCTCGGGTGCGCAAACGGGAGATGAGATGCGCCGGTCGATTCCAGTGGCCGCGCATAATTATCTCGCGCGCAGAGATGTTTGCGTGACGGCGAGAGAGAGAGAGCGCGCGCGCGGTCGGTCTCTCGTTACGCACAGGGCCTCATTCACGTCGCGTTCTTACGCAGATGTCACATCCGCCGCCGATGCTCTCGCGCGGGCCGCGCGCGGCTGCGTCGAACCGTATTGACACGAATGTCGGCGCACTCCCACGTCCTCGAGAGCACCCTCGTGTCTCCCTTCTAAAAATATCCTCCGCAGAAACACGCGCGCGCGGAGCGCTCCTTTTCAAATTGTCGCGGGCTCTAAATCCCGCGCCGATCGGACACAATTCGCGAGTGCGTCGTAACGAGTTGAATTACGCAATCTAAAGCCGATTACGCAAAAATATTCGCTCGATGTTGCGACGAGCGTTGTTATTCTTTTCTCCTGGATCTTATCATATCACTGTTACGATAATAATGAGGTCGCGTTGTCGCGCCCGGCATTCCAAAGTGCCTGGACGTGTCTCGCGCGCGACAGATAAGGTCCTCTCGGGTGCGATATCGCTCCCTCACCTGCCTCGCCTCTTTCCACCGTGCAAACCTGTTTACGTGGCGTATTAAAACGAATTTGCGTACATTCCGCACACCTGTACACACGTTGTATCAAACGAGCGATCTTTCCTCGTTCTCCTGCCCTTTCTTTCTCTCCCGCATCTCTCCGTATTCCCTTTTTTTTTCTCTTATCCGAGCAAGAGACTCCTCCCTGCGAATACCTCCTCTTACCGACGTTCCTCCCCGATTTCCTCCCTCGTTATTTACGAGCTCTGTCGTATTCTTCCGACGAGAACGGAACGCGCGCTCGTGCGCGCACGACTCTCGCGCCCGCGCGACGGCTCGCCGATTCCCGTTGTTTACTCGCGATTCGCGCACGTATCCAGAATAGGGAATCTATTATTGTCTCAAGCCTTCCTCCCGGCTTGATTGGCGATTAAGGTTTAACGACACTCGAGAGAGCAGCGAGAAAGCAAGGGTGCCCGCAGTGGCGTAGACGACGGCTCTCTTGCTCTTTTCGACCGTGCACTTTCTAGCTCGTATCTTTTTTTCTCCATCGCGGCAAAGCGCCAGCCGTAGATACACTTCCCGGTCAAAGTAGGAGCGACACAAAGTCACGTACATTCGATTTTATTATTATTTATTATTGACAAAAGATCTGTTCTATAATTTATTTATTTTTTTTTATAATTCATTGGCGAAAGTTGTGCAGCTCTAGAGACATGGGAGCTAACGTGTGCGCATCTCCTCGAATTATAAGAGAAGGCAGCGGGGTAGAGAGCACAGTCCTTTTCCCTCTTTACGCCACTGGATGCACTTTTGTATTCAACGTGAGTTGACATGCGCTCGCATGCTCCTCCGTTCATTGCGGTTTCTTTGAGTACGGACGGGCGAGGGGCCCAGGGAGGAGGCCAGGGTTTGACGTCGGTGATAAGAGGTTGAAGAGGCGGCGCGGGGACTTCGAGGAGAAGAGACGCGCGAGTGAAGATGGAAGTAGAGGCGAAATGGCGCGGCAAGGTGGAAAAATCCCCGGAATGCTGTTACTTTCATTTATGGCCTAATCCTTAGGCTTCCCTCACAGAGAGTTCGCTGTTGTGCCGTTACTCGGGCACGAAGTCCAACCGTGTATACGACCGTCGACGCTTTCTCGAGCCCCGCGTATCTTCCTTTCCTATCGCTACGTGTTACCTGCTGATTTTGAGAGGACAGCCTCTCGTGCTCCCGACACTTCCGTTTATTTATTTCGAATGAGAATATATGCTCGATCACAAAAAAAAAATTCCACCTTTGTTCTTCCGTAGATATGGAAGCTGGTAGACAGCAAGACCGGTTATCTCACGAGAAGCGGACTGTACAAGGGTCTCGCGCTCGTCGCCTTTGCTCAACAAGGAAAGCAACCGAGCGACAAGCTGCTGGAAAACTCCGAATCTCAAGGTTAGTCGAGTTCAAATTATCACCCTTTGATTTGTTAAAATATCAGGCGCGTAAGTCCCTGAATAAAAGAATATCAAAATGTTTAGCTTGGCGAGTGCGCTGTCTTGTCAATAATCTGCCAAAAGGACTCTATAAATGCTCTTACAATTAAATAATTATTTTAAATTCTGGAATTCACGAAAAAGAGCTTGTAAAAATTTTGGCGCTTTTATCAAGAAATTTTTTTTTTAAATAAAGCAAAGGCTTCGTCTGATTATTCTCAAAAGCTACGCTTGTGTAGATTTTAACGAAAAATTTGAACGACGACAATTGCGACCGATGAAATTGTCAAATAAATCACCGGCAACTCGCCGAGCGCGGATAACAATTAAACGTTCACGTTGCACTCTCGCCTCGGTATTCTCTTTTTTTTATAGCGGCTCTCTTGCGGTATCTCTTTTATCTCTTTTAGCTTAAGTAATTCGCTTCGCAAACAAGAGAAGCTATATACATACAAACAGACTTCCGTGCCGTTAACACAGTCCGTATATAGACTGCGATGAAAGTAGGTCTTGAATCAGTCTATTATCAGACAGGTGTTTAGATAATACGCATACGTGCTTCAGCAGCGTATCAAGAAACCTGTAGGCGTTACCGGAGTCATTGACCAGCAAAATCATTGCAGTTTTGCTTATCGTTAGAAAGTCACATACTATCGCGACTCGAGAAAATTGCGCTGCAGCTCTGCAACAACATTGTGTTTACCATTGTGTCACGTATTATCTTTTATATTATTATTTATTTATAAATATTTATTTTTCATCACTCTATACACGCTGGTTCTATATAAGTTAATACTACGTTGTTTCGCAGAGGAATCTGTGTCAATGTAAAATTAGAGTAACTCTCACTAACGTTCGTCCCTCAACATCTATTTGAAAATAGCTTCATAAGAATTGGCGTTGTTGTTGTGGATTAGACTTTTGCTGGAATCGCGTATTTAGCTCTTTCGAGGAATACTTGCATTTTTCGCTCAACAAAGGATTATAATACAATGGCATATAACGGCTTAGCGCGAAAATAACTTTGTGATCTGTGTCTTGTTTTGAAGCCGCACGATATAATTATTCTCATTACACAACGTTGAATTATAAATGCACGGAACGAAGGCAGCTTTATGAAAGCCGAGTCGTGAATGGTAAAACTGTGGGAACGTAAGTGCATAGTCAAGGTATCGCGGGGTCAGGAGACTCCTTCGTTATCGAGGTTGCGATGATGATTATTTGCCAGGGCGTAGGAGCAACAATGCCGGGATCTCGCGCGTCTCGGAATAAAGTCGGCGAAGTAGAACATATCGGAAAAGATACGGAAAGAGAAGATGTGTTCTTTTTCCTTCTCACTTGGACGATTGACGGATTCATTACCGCAATTTCGTTTTTATTTGTCGGCCGAAATAGCAACGGCACCGCGAAAATAGACGGATCTGACTCGGCGGTATTGAGGCCGCAGGAATTGTAACCGGATCTAGTGTTTTATGATTATATCTGTTCGTGCATGACAAGGACGGGAATAACGAAAGAGACTAGGACACTCGCAGCATAAAAAAAAGAACAATTGAAACAAGGGGAGCAAAGATATTGATAAGACGAAGTAAATATTAAAGAGTGTGCTTTTCAATCAGTTTTTCTTATGTAACCAAACTTTTGCTGAATTAAATCTTTCGCGAATTTTACTTTCACAGAAAAGCGTAAAGTACATTTGAAACCAGAAGAACAAACATATTGACAAGACGAACTGTAAATAGTCGTGAAAGAATGACTTTTCATCTGTTTCATATCTTAAAAAGCGTTCCAGTAAACGATACGCTGTAGCGTCGTGCTCACGGAAGGCTGTATGTATTGTATATCACTTCTGTATCTTATTTAGAAAAAAGTATACTTGGTTTTAGAAAAACAATATACTTGGCGCGAGACGCTACTGCGTCTCTAGATATCGAACTGAATTTTAAACACACAAAGTGAAATATATTTCAATGTTTTTTCATTGCTAAGATATCCAAAAAATACAAAAACCCGACCTAAATGCGTTAACTAGGAATGAAATGGCCAAAAAGTTAAGAAGTTGAGGTGGTAACGTTGCCATCATACTTCAAAGGGTTAAAAACTACGAAGAGATGAAGTTAGAAAAGGGGCCACGTCCTCGAAGCCCAGAAACGTTCGGTGTCGTACCGCCTTTATTCGTTGAAGGAACTTAATGTATATCAATCAAATTCTATTGCTACTAAGTAATTGTGCAACTGTCGTCTACGCTAAATGCGCCCGGTTGGCAGCTGTCGGAAAATGCGTCCTTCGCTCGAGAGGATCTTCTTATTCGCAGAATTGCCCGTCCCCGCTCTGGGAGACCTGTCGGAAGTGACGCTTCTGGCGCAGAGGCTGCACCGGGGCAATCCCGCGAAGCTGAATCATACGTTCTCGGACATTTGTAATCTGGACAGTATCGAGGTCAACCTCGTGCCGGAGAAGAAGGGCATCTTCCTGAAGCACGTGGAGTATCAAGTCACCAGCAAGGTATTGTCGAGGCTCGCGTTTCCGTCCGTGGAGGCACGAACGGACGTAGCGCTATTATTTAGATTGCTTTAATAAAACCTTATCTCAATTCTATCGTGGCGAATAAGAGAATTACGCCGTGACGGGGAACGTGAACCTCACGCGGATGAATTTCATGTTTTTAGAGATTCAATTCTGTGGTCTACAGGCGTTACAATGACTTCGTGTCGTTGTACGACCTCCTCCTAGCCCGGTTTCCCTACAGACTGATTCCCAAGTTACCACCGAAGAAAATTGTAGGAGGTAAACACGCATGCATAATTGTTAATATGCACTCGAGAGACATTACATAATTTCGTAGTGTCCATCACGTAGTCGTAACAACGTTACAATTAAAAATGAGTTCTCGAAGAGGCTTTTTTTTTCATCTCGCCCCGTTGCAGCGGACTCGCAATTTCTCGAAGAGAGGCGGCGCTCTCTGCTGCGGTTTCTCACGCTGATCGCTCGCCACCCGGTGGTCAGCGAGGACCCCATCGTGCAATTTTTCTTCACGTACACCGGCGACGAGACGCAGCACAAGATCCGCGAGGTATTCAGGCGCGTGCCCGACGAATTTGCCACGTCCGAGCTGTCGTCGAGGGCGAAGGAGCTGATGCCGCCCGAGACGCTGACCGAGTTCGCAAACAGCCGCGATCAGATACGCGTGATACTCCTCGGGATCTCCCGATTGAAGCACATCGCCGACAGCCTGGCATTCAGGTCGCACAATTACGCGGTGGATATGGCTGAGCTTGGCAATCAGCTGAGCACTTTGGCCGCGGAACAGCACGGCACCGCTACCTGGATCACCGGCAGTTCCAGCCTTTGGCAAGACATGAAGAAAGGCTTTCACGTAATCTCCAAGTAAGAATCCAGTATCGATAAGAGAAGTTTGTGCGACGTATCGTTGCTTTTTGTCGTCTCAAGAATTACATCTCGATAACGAAGATGCTCGAGATTCTACGTTATCGCCTACGATACAACCGTTCATTTTCGGCTTTCACGCTTCAGAGGAATTTAGTTGTTAAGCTTTCGCGATTGCTTCTAAATGTAGGATAAAAATTTTTAGAGAGTTCAACCTGCTGTCGACCAGAGCCCTCCAACAGGCGGTGCGGGAGGAGACCATGGTATGCGAGAGGCTGAATCTCCTGCTCGACATTTTAGTCGCGCACAGGATGTTGTGCGAGAGACACGAGCGAGGCGTCAGCGCCGATCACCAACGCGCTCTGTCTACGATGCTGTCTCTCAAGAAGCGGCAAATGCAAGGAGTTATTCGCGGTACCGACGTACGTGCCTACTTAACGATTTAAAGATTTATTAACCGTGACTCTCCCGCGCTCATCGCGCGGACTATAATCGACGCGGTAATTTAACCGGCAATCGCGTTGTCGCAATTGTATAATTACTCGCCGAGTTTGAAGTAGCATAATATGAGAAATCGCGGAGATTCGCTGTGAGGAGTAAGCGTAACTTCCTGCGGGCTTACGCAATCCGTCATAGTTGGCGAACGCGCGGCGCACGCTCGTTTCGAGAAGAGTGCACGCGATTTTATCGTATGTCCAGGCCGACACCGTCGAGTACCTTGAGAACAAGATGGTCTCCCAGGAATCCGTGATTGCTAACGTCGAGCTGAGGAATTGTTTCTCGCTGCTCTGTCTGCACATGGAGACCCAGCTCGTTCACGCGCATCTGGAGATACTCGCCACTGTGCTGCAGAGCCTCGTGAGCGTGCAGATTCGCGGGCATTCCGAGGTAAATATCACCGATCCTCGGTAACTCCAGTTACATTATTTACTAATTAACAAACGTGTTCATTTTGCAAACGAACGAAACGAAGAGGTCACGGTGAGTTGTTGCACAATGTTTTTTGATACTCGTATCTGAGGGAAACCCTTTCCTCTTTATTTTCTTTTCGCGGTACAACCCCACTGTATGTACTGCGCTATATTGTTCTCCACTACGTACGTGCTATGCAAATATCTTTAGTACTAGAACACACACGCATACATCGTCGGATTTACGATGGAAATTGCTGATGCAAACGTTTGTTTACAGTTGGCTGAAGTGTGGAAACTAATCGAACCGACGATTACAAAGTGTTTGCCCGAGAAGTTAGCAAGCGGGTCCAATGGAGGATAGCACAGGAGTAGCAAAGTTTCGTACACGTCACGACAGATCATAGCGATGCCAAATAATTGATAACTGAAACTTGTATACAAATCTTAGTAAACATGATGACACTGTGGTCGAACATGATGACAATTGTCGAAGACAGGAACAAGGAAGACGTGCAAAATCGTCCAGCCGTTCCATATTGATCACATAGATTCTATAACTACAGCCATTGACAAAATTATTAGTGTCTAATAATTTTGTCTATGGCTGTATCTACGTATAGATTCTATATCTGTCTGATTACATAGATTCTTACAGCATTTGTGTATCCCTTGATTATCAAGCGATTAAATATCACGTATGATATTTATCTCTTATTATATAATGATAAAAGTCTCGAATATGTATAGCGCGTTTAAGTTTTAAACATTCCCTGTTGTGTACTTAATATATTTTATGGACCAGCGTACGATATTTCTAATTCCCTAATAACTATTAAATTGCTATGTACATAAGAACTTGTAGGTTGTATATACGCGCGTCGCATCGATGCGCGACGAGTGCCTATGCGATTGTAAATACATGTGTAACTCGAACATTTTGCAAGAGAATTTATATTCATTTCATATACACACGTGGACAGTCTGAGAATCTTTTATGCGTGCCACGTTGACCGTGGATATTCTCTCCGTGTATTACGTATATATTAGAGCCAGCATCAGAATTATCGTTAATTTCATTCGAGTAAACGTTATGTTAATTTACGCTTATAATTTTACTGCCGAGACATTTGACATAAAAATGTTCAAATGCGATATCCAAGCAAGTTTCCTAAGGGAGAGAAACTGAATTCGAAAGTCATCAAGAATTATGAAATCCACAAATCAACGATAATTCCGAGACCTCTTGCATGATACTCATGTTTATAATATAACGGTGATGAAATATATTGTTATTATAAAACCACGTTTTCATTGTTCTTCTAGATCAAATGATTTCAGCGCGGTGATTACCTCAGCGAATATTTAATGCGGAGATATTTGTTGGCGGCAAAAGATCGAAAGTAATGCGCTTGTTATCGACGAAGTAACGTTATAATGGCGGTCCGCTATAATAAATTCATAATGCTGCGGGCAAACAGCATATTTTTTCATAATTTATTTACGCGCGATCGCCACAGCGTTACATGGCTCGAATTCGAAACAGCGGATTTGCAAGATGTACGAGTACTTCGTTTTCGGGGGTAACATAGCCCGCTGTACCAGCTTTGGCCGCAACGTCACAGATGTCGGCACGGGGATCTCGTCTAAAGATTTTGGTGAACATTGTTAAAAGATTTAGAATTTCCGATGAATTTATTATTTTACGCATTTTACATCACTATGTGACATTTGATTTCAGATGAAATGTTCAAATTGAGAAAACAAAAACAGCACGAAATTTCATGGAACTTTCCCTCGACGTAGCTCTTATTCTCCACGCTCGATTTATAGCGCGGAGAAACACGTATTACGTTAAGGTACCGCGAAACGTTAATTATTACTACGTCGTCAGAGTGGCAATTTGTAAGGGCTGACGACACGCAGAGCTGGCGGCGCCGTAAACGGGGCCGGCCGAATGAGTCGTATCCGCGCGCACATCAATTCGAAATAAGGTCCTTAAAAGCTTCATCGAGCATCCTCGCTCGTCCAGCGCGACGGTCGGCGGCCGCGTAATGCTCTTTGAACGTCCAGCATTTTAGATTAAAGGCGGTTAACCGACCCTTTCTCTTCCACGTACCCCGGGACCGTCGAGAGAGTAACGCGTTCGAGTTTCACCCGGGTGGAAGTAACGTTGTGCCTCCGACATTTCTTCGTGAAACGACTTGTGTCGGAGGCCTCGCGTAACACTAGCTAATACACGTCGAACGGATATCCAAGTACCTTGAATTGTCTTTAAAAAAAAGATACAGTATTTCTCCTTGCAACGAACCGTGCAAATCCTTTCTTTCCCCCGAGTTAGGTACACGGAGAGAGTTTTCTCTCAAAATTTATCCTGAATATATTGTAATCGTCGGACAACACGGCATTTCAAAGGATTTTATGAGTTTTTTTGAAATTTTACCATACATTTCAATAGTAATTATATTTAGTGTGTATTTTACTAGTAAAAAAATATGGTACACTTTTGAAAAATATTTCATAAATTTCTTCAAAAAGCCATGTGTCTCACGATCACATGATTTTTCAAGATGAATCTTAAAATGAGACACCCTGCACGTATATTGATTCACAAATATCAGTCGTACCGACAGTATTAAAATTTCAAAATGACGCATCGGCACGAATGAATAATTAATATTATTATATAGCGAGGATCTCCGTGTAATGTTTCAATAGTATACTCTACGGGCCTACAAGAACCATTTGTTTTGACAGAACGTAATTAGCGTTGCGATTCGACATTGATTGGCAGCCGCAACGCGATCCTCCACCGCGCTCAGAAAAACCCTCCGACCGTCGCGGGAGAGCTCTTCCGTCGCACTTGAATGTCAACATCATCAGATAACGTTCCGTCCTCGGCAAGCAATTGAGAATTGGAGAGTAAACGAGTTCCCACCCCCGCGACAGCGTCCTCGCCGTCGAAGAATCGTCGAGGGCGGAAGGGTGCGCGCACGGGGTAGAAAGGACGGGCTACTGAACATTGCAGAGGCAATTTTCCCCGACAATACCGGCTACTTTGTTCCGTCCCGCCGTGCGTGCACGCTTTGTGAATCACGCGTGCGGCTCGGGTGCATCCCGCGTTTTCTTCCGCCGGCGCCGGAAGAGTTCCGGCGCGTCGCGGCGGCAGTCTTCGGGAAGAGCGAGGAGGAACGCGGGGAGGCCGCGGTGAAACGCGGCGCGTTAATTAGATGCCTTAGGCCATACCGACTAATTCGCCTCCTTTGTGCTCTACACCGTTCTCGACGGCGCTGTCCGTCCGCGTTACTCCTCGCGCCACCCTCGTCTACGCGTCGCTCTTAATTCGGTTGCCTCGACAGAATGCTCTTCCCCGAAGAGGATGCTCTGTCGCTTTTGTTTGCCGACTTTTTACGACTCGCGTCTGCTCGGATTTATTATCTTGTTCCGTGGGAACGCGCGAGTGTTGGATTAACAATCATTAAATTCCATTAGAGATACAGCCGCATTCGAGCTGCACGCGTCGCAATCGGTTCTCGTTCTTACTAATCCATTTGTCCTCTCATCGTTATCCCAGTCTGTGGACAAAGTGATGACGCGGATGTGAGAAGTTTGTTCCCTTGTTTGTTTATCCCCTTTCCAATTATAATATGTAGTTGTTTTCCCTAATAGTATATACGTGGGACATAGAGAATACATAAGCATTAAATGTGACTCCATCACTTTTGACCGATGTAGATTTTCTAAAGCGTGACACAGGGAATAAAACGGAATTCTGCAACAGTACGTAGATGCGTTACGTTCCGCATCCTTCGCATAATTCGTCAAAATAGAGCCTCGTAATGAAAAGAGTAATATTTTCTTCTAGAAGCCACTTTCTTCTCTCCACTCGTCTCTCAGTTCCGTTCTTGCGTTAACACTTTGCGTCTCTGTGGTCTCACTGTGAAACCGCTGTGTCGCGTTCTTTGAAGTTTTTATCGCTATTTTGAGCATTTTTGCGAGTGTAAAGTAATTGAATATATGCGTTACTTTTAAAAGCAATGGGATACAGCAATTAGTATTATTAATATTATTTTTCATAATAAATGAAACAGCGGACTGTTACGAATTTAACGAGTTATACAGTTAATTGGAGAAGATGCCGTTGTCGGTCGGGTTGGATCTTGGTAGCCTAATAATTTCTGTACTTGATTTATTATTTTTTGTATAACTGACAGTATTCGTAAATATTTGTATGAGATGAAATGTTGGTCATTTTAAAGAATATACATTTTCGTATATTAGATCGCGAAGGGTTAAAGGGTGCCCTCTACGGCCCCGGTCATTCGGCATCGTTGAATCACAGGCTCGCGCGCGATGCTGCAACGAGAGACGCTGCGCCGAAATGCAACAAGATATATAGAATCGTCTCGTTATCCGCGACCGGCCAGGCAAGTGCGGCTCGTTAAGAGGATTCCCTTTGACGAGCTCCTCTTTTTTTCTCTCCCGCGCTCGCTGCTCCTACTCGCGCATCTCGTTTGCAGGATTTCGCGCTGCTGCATAAGGAGATGATACGATTAAAGTTGCGCATTTACAATTGGACGTATGTACGTAGCGCGGGAGGAGAAGCGCAATTAGATGTAAGCCTGTTTATCCGGAACAGAGATGTTTTGTCTGCTGAAAGCGGTACGTAACGGTTGTCGGCACGTGCGCGATTAAACTCGATCAGAATCCTCTCTACTCGTTGAAATTGACTTAGCAGGTTTCTTGCTTCCGATAGGAACGGTAGAACGGGTCGGCGGGTGAAATCGCGTTAACGCGGCACAATGGTTGTTCCATTCGCGCGATTAGGCGCGATTTTGTTGTCAACCGAATATACCGTCGGCTGCAATTCGATAAATCTCCCGCTCCCTCCGTTTTGGAACGATGTGGCGTTAAATAAAGTTTGCAAATTGAGATTGCCGGCGCGCGATAACGGCCGCGGAAGGATTAGCTCAATCCCGGTGCGGCGTGTTCGACAACGGATTCCGCAATCGAGAGCCCGCGATTCGAAGAAAGCGCACAGCACCGTCCCGATACGCGCCGCGCGGATAAGTCGCGTATCCATTCGTTTCATTTTGCCGGATTTTACAGACGGACGAATCGGCGACGACGGCAGAATTTTGCCGGCTGCACCCACCGTACTTTCGTATATTACGCGCGTGAAATTTGCCGGCGAGAGTCACGACAGTGACTGGCACGTTGGGAAAGAGCGGCTGTTTCGCAAAACGGCGAGCGATAATTTCAGCCGAATTCGCAAGGCTTGCCATCGGACCAGGGAGGTTCGAGACGAGAGTTTCGCGAAGAAGGATCGCGTGAGCGACCGTTGCATTCGGCAGAGGCAATTGTAAAATCATTGGAGATGATAGGCCGATATTCATGATCCGCTCTCTAAAAGTCAATTAGTGGATTACCACTGAAAATAGTGAGTGCCCAGATAGCATACATGTCTACAAGACATCTTTAAGGCGGCGTTAAGTTGTCTTTTATATTTATATCTCTTATATTTAAGATCATCGTAAATATAGTCTTATTGTATTTTAGACCAATCAGAGAACCGCGAGACATTACTTAAGGTAATTTTGAAATAAGAGCGAACTATGAATAGGCGATAGATTCCGTTCTTCGTCAGCCTGCGAATTCTTCGATCTAACAGGGCATCTTTTGTATCACATTGTTCGATCTTATGTAATAATCTCATGCAAATAAGTAGAAAAAAGCTTTGGTCTCACGCTCGAGCATTAAGGTTGTAATAATAAGATTCATGTAGATTATGTGGGATATAATACGTTATGCGCGCAGCAATTAACGCAATTATTTATACGGATTAGCGTGCGGATAGCTGCGGATTCCGTAATCTATCTCATATATCTTCATTTTGCAATGTTTAAACGATATCTCTAACAGTACTAATATCGCGG